GTCTCCCTTCACCCACTTTTCGGTTGTCCGTCCCCCAGGGAGGAGGTCACATATAGTTCCTTGTAATCGGTTCCCTCTTTCCAACCCACTCTCAAAAAATAACAACAAGCTGAGTCTAGCTTCCTGTAGCACCTAAACAAAGGTGAATTTTGAATGACTCTAGCCGTCTCCTAAAAATAAAACTGTCAGATCAAAAGCAGTGGGCACACTGGGCTCTTCCATGGTACGGCACTAGAGATACGAGCGCTGCTTGTCAGACAGCACCCATCTGAGCTGTCTGAGGTGGCTTTTCTCAGCAAAGTCTCCTGTGATGTCATTGCTATTCCGTAGCAGACACACTAATGGGACCGCAGCCAGGGTCTAAGTGCCTGTGTCCTAGGGAGTCCTAATTAAATTATAGTGAATCCATTTTTTCTTGGAGCACTTCATTCATGTAATGCATGAGAATGAAAGCGTTTTTCCTATCCTGTATTCCCACCTCCCTCCTTGGCCCCCATTGTGTGGGGTATTTTCATGTTTACAATTTGAAGAGAATGAAATAAACTTCTCCGGACTATAAAGTTTATCATCTAAGACAGGAACTGCCATTCACTTTGGTTGTCTGTAGAAGGAGCTGAATAAAAAGGAACAGTGGATTCGTATTTAAGGGGTAAACGCATTTCATCGTCTACAAGACAATGGCACGTCGGTGTCTGGGCAGGCCGCGCAGGGAGAGAAGAGCGGGCGTGTGGTGTGCGCCCATTGTGGTGTGTCCTCGGGGTCGACGCTCACTGTCTCCGTGGGTTAGGCATCCTTCCTGCTCTTTAGATGAGAAATCTGAGAAATATAAGCTAGTAAGTGCTTAGGACAAATTGTCTGCCTCTACAGCCCTGGGTTTTGCCATCACCCTATGCTGTACCCCTCAGATGGAGATGACCTGAGGAATGGGCCTGAGGATTTTAATTTGCCTAAGTCCAAGCTCCTTGGAAGGGCTCGTGTCGTAAACTGTTATTTTTCACAGCAACGGGAGTGATGCTTGACCGATGGAGACTGATGATAACTTTTAACAGTTCAGAAAGATCCGTTTCCACTCGTGGCATTTGGGGAAGAAGGTTAGGTGTCTAAAGTTGACACGTAGCCTTCCCAGAAGTTTTTAAAAGTGAATCGGGGGAAAAAATGACCAGACATTTCAAAAAGGGTGCCCTTGACAAGACTGTGGAGCTGGGACGCACGTGGCAGGTATGACGTGGACAGGTGGGCTGGGACTCCAGATAGGAGCCAAATGATGGAGGTCTACTTTGTGCTCCCATAGGGTTACAGTCTCAGAAACCCAAAGGGGCAGTCCTACCCTGCCCTGTAAGGTCGCCATGAGTCAGAATGTACTTGATGACAGTGACTTGCGTTTATTTCCATAAAATAGAGAGGTTTAATTTCTTCCGATTGGCATCTCTTGGTTCGATTAGCAATTTGGCCACTATTTGGAAGAGCGAATTTTGGGCAAGTTCACACCGACTGTGTTCCAGGCTATCTTGTGGTTATCTAGTCACACTGCTCCTGGTTTTCCCGGCACGTGAAAGGCAAAACTCCCTCACGGCCGACTTGAACTAGATTACTCGACAAGGACAGTCATGAGCTAAAGAGTTTTGAAAAGTAAATACATATGGATGTGTATTTGATTTGCTTGATTCCCCGCCCCCTATTTTTCGGTAGGCTGATTCTCTTTCGGGTTCTGTACATTAGATAACAGCTGCTTGTTAAATTTCAAAACCGTGGGCACCCTGGTTTTTTATTTCAGAATGACTGAAAGCACCACATTTTAAAATCGTGGACTACAATGAAGGCAAAAATGTGCTCGATTCAAAGGTCGCCCTTAACTCTCCATGTGGCAGTGGGGCCAAGCAGGGTTCATCTCCTTAGTCTTTTCAAGTGAACGGCTCCAAATGAAAATAACACATTTATTATAAAATCTTCACTCTCAAATCAGAATGGCAAACTTTTTCTTTTTCTTTTTTGCCCCAACATCAACACGGTGGTCTAAATATCCAGTTTTAATTTTGAACACCACGCCACTCGTTTTATTGAAATTCTAAGCCACAACACCCCTACACTTCCCTGAGTTCCGAAGCTCGTTTAGGGCACGGGGTTTGGAGAACATGTTTCCCTTTTCTATTAGTAAAAGCGATCATCTAATGACCTCAATTAGAAAGGGGAATAAAAAGATTCACAGATCTAAAAATAACTCCACTATCCATAAAGAGAAGGTCGGTGTTTTCCCTTCCACTCCACCAGCTGATACTTAAGTAAGTGGCAATCGATCAGTCTAATGTCTGCCTCTCGTTTTTCATAAATGAAGGGCTGTGGCTTTAAGTGATCGTAGGCTGCTCCTGCCAGAGGCAGAAGCTGCAGTATCAGCTTCTGTGGGAGAGAGGAGGCTGAGGCATTCTGTAACCTGCAGGACAGCCGTGAAGTCAGGCTCGCCCAGGGCCAATGGCGCTCCTCCTGGTAGAGCTTTGAATGTAGACAGCCCTGCTGGTGGGTGGCGTGGCCACCTGTGCACTTCTCGGACAGTGCAGGGGGTGGGGAGTTGGAGACAGAAGCTGGAAAATGGGCTGCTCCGGCAGTAAAATGTGCCACTATTCTCCGTGTACCGCAACCAGGGTAATGAGTATTTGTTTATAGTGCTTTTCTGGAGGACTGTCAGGGACTTGGGCAAAAGGCTGCCTGGAATTAGGGGGCAGTGGGCTGAGTGACAAGCAACCCTTGCCTGCAGAGGCTGGGTCTCATGATCGCTGCCCCACGGGGCTCCATCCCGGCACTCCCAGGAAGGGCACTGCCCGAGCGCTTGGCGTCTGTCTCCTTAGCTAGCCGACCGGCCCCCTGAGCGACTCTGTAACTATTGGATTTGTAAAAGTATGTATGTGTCGGTGGGATTGCTGTGTGTCGCTGGTAACTCGAAGGTTGTTCTGTATCGCAAAGGTTGATAACTGTGCTTTTAATATGAAACAGCTGCCATCTCCTTAGAATTGTAGCTGATACAAAACCTACTCCTTCTTAGAAACAAGTATGCGGCTGATTTTAATTTACTCTCTAAAGGATCTTTTTGTTGTTCTTGTTTTTTCCATAGTTTCATAACAAACTTTTTGGCCTTTCTTTCAGAAGTAAAACCAGGAGGCTTGGCCCTTTAGGCAAAACTTTTTTATGGGTGAATATAGGACAGAGTGCATATTAGCATATGTCTAGAACATTAAATATTTATCTTAAACTGATTAGGCCTTTATTGCCCTTGGAGGAGAAGAATGTTTTGCGTCTTCAGTGCAGTATGCCTTAGCTGAAAGGTTCCGTGGGTCCGCAAGGACCTATCGACGCAAAGTAAATATTTGAAATGGACCATTCAGTTCTTCAAATGGAAGTTTTTTGTTTTTGTTTTTTTTCACCAGGACCTGAGAAAAGCCTACATTTTTTTTTTAAAGCACTGATTTCCTTAACAACTAACGGGATGTATCTGTGTTTTGTGACAACATAAACTGTTAGCCTAAATGATTTAGATCTTGGCTTCTCGGTTGTGGGTCTCGTTTCCCTACTGATAACAAATGGGTGCCTCACGGTAAAGACCCTCTTGAAAACATTAGTAACTTGATGTGTATTTTCCACAGCGGGAGGAAGCGCTGAAACAACACAAAGCCCTATCTCAAGAACTTGTCAACCTACGGGGAGAGCTAGGTAAGAACCCTTTTGTTGTTGCTCCTGCTGTTAGGAAATATTCTGGGAAGAGGGGAAGCTGGGTGTTTGGTTTTCTGGCCTGTATTGTGTGGCTGAGTTGTGTGCTGGCAGTTGTTCACTCCCCCTCTTGGTATCTGTGCAAACACTTAACTAACAACGTTTCTTTTGAATCTTGGCAGCTCGACCTCCAGTTCACAGAATTCCTGGCACTGGTCTGACTAAGCCTAGCACAGCTTCTGCAGGAAGCCTATCTCTGATGACCAAAACATTTCTCTCATCTGGAGAGCGAGGCAGAATGGTTTTTGGAATTGTTTGCATTCCTGCTATATAATGCCATCGTATTTTTTTCGGCTAAAGTGCGGTGGGGGAGATTGTTTCTAGGCTCACAGTAGTTGCCCCACACTGCCTTGGGGCAAGTTGAAAGGGTGCAACACGTTAGGGGCACCCGGACAGGATGGTGTGCTATGCTAGTCTGACAATCTGCATAGTGAATACCTACTGGGCTGAGCACCCCTGGGAGCCCTGTGCCCCTCCTGTCTGTGGACCTCTCCACCCCCCTGCTGCTCTCTGTGCCAGAACACTGTTTCAGCCCCTGTCTCTTCTGGAAGAGCCATTAGGGATGGAGAGGAGGCAATACTACCTTTTCTTTGTTATTTATCATGTTGGGGTGCACTGCCTGGCCTACTGGCATGGGCACCGGAACCCCAGAAAATCAGCTTCCTTTTTTAGCTTCACCCAGGATAGGAGTTTCTTGCAAGGTTGAAGTCTTTAGCCTTCATAGTTTTCTGTGTATATGGACAGGCTCTGCTTAAAATGAAGGGGCTTCAAAAAGTTCAAGGGAAAATTTCTTTTTCTTTTCATTCCGATTTTTCTACAAACTTGATGGTGCGCCCTTTGTATGTTTAGAAGCAAATTGTGTCTATCTGGTTCCAGGAGAAGCAGCCCATTCCTCTCTTTGACAGAACCCGAGTTCAAGCATTGCCCGTCTGTAGATGCTTTTCGTTTTTTCCCCAGGACAAAAATCAAAGAGCAGGGGACCTGGGGTCAGCACTCCTCTATGCAGCCCACTCTACTCCTAGCCTCACCTCCCAGTGCACTCCAAGCCCAGTTATGTTGACCCTCTGGATTCTTAATACTCAGCTCAGGCATCAGTCATTTCCCCCCCTAGTTTTATTTTAGGATACAGAAATGAGATTTAAACAGATGGAATTTCAGGGCCCCAAATACTGAAAACTAATTTTGAAGCAGATGAGATCACAGGTCCCCCAAAACTTGAGAGTACCGGCAGAAGAGTCCAAGTGCACCCCAGCCGAGAGCAGCCAGCTCTCTGAGACACGCAAAGCTTGATGCCTTGTGCGTGAACTGCAGCCCTTTCTGGTTACCCAAATGCTCAACTTACTTTGCTTCTGTATGTGCCTTAAATAACATAATGGATAGCGAGTCCGGCGATTTGCAAAAGAGGCTTTGTGTGTGCGTGTCTTAGAGTTCATTATGGACCAAGTGGAAGTGGGGATGAGCCTGCCCCGGGGTTCACGTTTCAACCTCGCCCGAGACCAGGGAGGCCACGCTCGAACAGGACAGTGTTCTCATTCACTCTGGTTGAATGGGGCAGCCTCTTTGCAGCTCTCCCTGGCTAGCACAGTTCGGCGCTGTCGAAGGGGCTCAGGTGTTGGGCCCTTTCAGTTAGTCCCATAGCCTGACAGGAGATCGCCGTACCAGTGCGCCACTCTCACCTTTCTGCCTGTGATAAGGGGAGTGAACATTTCTTGCTGCCCTCCGGGTGTCAGGATGTGATGGCTGACCTGCCTGGAACTGGGCAATCTCCCCCGGCTGGCCGGGCGCTTAGGGAGTGTGCCCTTTCTGCTGTTGAATCAGGCAGGAGCCCTCAAGTAGCAGCATACGGCTTCTTGCTTCAGTTCTGTGAAGGGGGAGAAAAGAAGCTATCACTTGAGTGGTGCAGGAGTACAGGGGGGACGGGGGATGAGTTTTGGCACACAGCTAAAGTCAAGAACAAAACAAAAAGGTGCACGACACAGTTGGAACACTCCGTTTCAAACCTAAGGCAGTTGGGCAAAGTGGCTGAAAGTGAGTTCTCAGACAATTCAAATTCAAATCCTTGGCAGCTGGGTGACTTAGGGCAGGTTACTGTGCATCTCTAATATCCCGATTTCCTTCTTGGTAAATGGCAGTGATAATTGTGTACCTCAAGAGTGGCTGCGAAGATGCCCGAGTTGGTGTATTCTCAGATCTTGCCTCGGACCTCGTAAGCACCTGTGTTAAGTACCAGTAAACAAAATGCATTAAGATGGCAGTGGTTAGTTTTTGGTTTTAAAAGATAAGTGCAGTTTCACATCTATACAAGTAGTCAACTGCAGTGACTGCTATTGTGAGGGTGTAGACTGTACTGAGCGCGCCCTGGTGGCGTAATGGTTACTCATTGGGCTGCAATCCACAAGATCAACAGTTCAAAACCACCAGCTGCTCCCAGGTATAAATATGGGGCTTCCTACTCCCATAAACTTTTACAGCCTTAGACACTCACAGGGCCGGTTCGGCTCTATTCCATAGGGTTGCTTGGAGTCTTCATTGACTCGTTGGCAGTGGACTGGGTTTGGTTTCAACTATACTGCGGAAGACTCATCATTCAATTAAATATTACTAGAAATTGTTTAAAACATGCTGGGTTTTCATTTTGTCTGTCTTCCAACTCAAATGGAAGCGAGGTATCCTTGGTCCTCCACTGATGCAGGAGAACAGGGTGGTATGTGGAACCAGTAGTTTAGGTTTGTGTTCACCCAGTCTTCGTATAAGTTGCCTACTTTGTTTATGAACAGGCTGTTGGGAGTTAGTATCTATGTCGCTGGGTTGTTGTGGAGTAAAAGTAAAACATATGAAGTAACTACAGGGCCCAGGAGCCCTGGTGGCATAGTGTTTACGCATTAGGCTGCTAACAGCAAGGCCCACGGCTCAAAACCATTAGCCCCTCTGAAGCAGAAAGATGAGGCTTCACACTCCCGTGAAGAGTTACAGTAACTCTCCCGCACGGGCCAGTCTGCCCTGCTCCAGAGGGCTGCTGAGAGTTGGGAATGGCCCAGTGCCTGTCCCTCGCATGCAGCTCAGGACAGAGCTGTGCCGTAGCCAGCTTTGCACGCAGGTCTGCGGCCCCACGGATCGCATCCTCCCGGATCCCTTTTCTCACCTTGGAAAGGAGGACAGCTCTCCCGAGCCACTGAGCGCTGCAGAAGGACACCTCCTCAGGTCAGGAGCTCTCCATCCCAATCAGAGTCTGTACTTTTGACCTTCAGAATCCAGTTCGCCTCCAAGGAAGCCACACCCCCTTCCTGTACTGACTTTCCATTTTCTTCTGGAAAACTCTTCACAAAACCCCTTTTCCTGACCCCTGAGAATAAAGCAACCCTGATGGTTCCCCTGAGACCCCTCCATACTTTAGATTGGTCTATTTATTCCATCTTGTGTTTTCCCGTTGGCTTCATATACTAAACTTCTTGATCGCAGGCTGTTTCCGGCTTCCCATAAAAAAACAGAAACCTAAAATTGTTACAGAGTGCTTTGCGTTTTCGTGGGTAAATGAATGAGTATGAGTACTTCAGAGAGCCTGCCAGCCCTGGTAGTTCCGTGCTGGGCTGTGATCCACACGTCTGCGGTTCAAAACTACCAGCCACTCCTCAGAAGAAAAGTGGTGCTTCCTGCTCCCGAAAAGAGTTAAGTCTCAGAAACCCACTGGGCAGTCCTACCCCGCCCTATAGTGCCACCATACATCAGCATCGACTCCATGGCCATGAGTTTTTGCAGGAGCCCTGGTGGTGTAGTGGTTACATATTAGGCTGCTAACCACAAGGTCAGCAGTTCAAAACTACAAGTGTTTCCATGGGAAAAAGGCGAGGCTTTCTACTCTTTAAAAAGTTAGTTTCTCAGAAACTCACGGGAGCAGTTCTACCCCATCCTATAGGGTCCCCGAGTCAGAATCAACTTGATGGCAGTGAGGGGTTGGGGGTGTGTGTGTGTACATGATTAAAGCATTTTGAAGTGAGAAGAAATAGCTCCCAGTTTCACTGTCCTGTTATACCCTTTGTATTCGCATATTCCCTTGTCTTTGTTTATGGCTATCGACATTTGTACTCTGTTTCACAGAGGTATCGTTCTGAGTACAGTTTAATACTTGTATCTATCAGGTGTGACAGATCCCCACACTCACAGAACCTACACTGTTATCAAGGCATGGAGTCTTTCTTTGCCTCTAACAAATTCCTCTTACTCCTGTATAATGATCTCATTAGTTGTGTGTGTGACTCCTTTCATACAGCTTAATACTCTGAAATTAATCCATATTATTGTATCCATCTATGCTGAGGGACATGTCAGAGAGTTTAACACTCAGAGAATTTTCTATATTGCTCATAGTCTTCCCTCTGATCATGTGTCATGATTGTGGGGAAGTTGATCAAGTGAGTGTGCCGTCATTGGACTTCCCCCTTAAGCACTGTTGTACTACAGCAAGAGTTCCAACGTCAGCTCTGAGCCCCCTGTCTCCTCCAGGGCTTCGACTCCTATCTGGATGATGGTGACTCACAGGTTCGTTTCTCTGGTTCTCCCCTTCACAAGCTTTAGAGTCTTGTTCCAACTGCCTGGTGAGGAGCGACCCCCAGGTGAGCCAATGCAGTGTGATTAGACCTACGACTGCTGGCCCTCCTCCTATCTGAACCCTCCACACAGGATCTCCTTCTCCCAGCCGGTCCTCCGTGCAGGCCTCAGTTTCTGTGCAGGCGTTATTCACTTAACACAGGCTCACGGCTCAAGTCAGACCCCCTTGCTCCATTCTGTGCTGTAAATGTCTCTGACCCATCATTCCATACCCTGACCCTGGCTGCCACCGTCCTCATTCAGCCCCATCAATTCTCCTGTTCCAGTGACCCTGCCGGTTGCCTCCAGGCCCCCTTCTCTCCTCTCCACATCCACCAGGACTGGACTTCACTTTGTTA